GAGAAAAAAAAACCTTTTGAAGTGATAATCAAGATAGCCCAGTACAGACAGTTTGATAAGAAGTGTGAGGATACTTACAAGGGGAGATAGTGTTTTTTGTGATGCTTAGCGCTGTCATCTACCTTGGCTGTACTACAAGCAAATTCCTTGGGTAGAAGATAGTGTCGAAGTGCAAAGAATTCTTAAAATGTATTAAACAGATTTTATATATAGTATTAATCTTTATCTAAATTTAGACAGGCTGCAGTGTAATGGAATGCTTACAAGGTAGCAGAAAAAATATACTATTTGCCAGAAAGGAAGAAAGTAATTTTTTCTTTGGGGGGGGGAGGGGGAGGGGGAGAAACAAAAAAGAAAACACTGGCAGTTACAGGATGATTTAAGCATTTTATTGGCATGGGTCCTACTTAGGAAGCATATTTAAGGCTCACTGAATGGAAGTAATCTTTTTTCAGGTTTTGTGCCAATGTATAATTATTGTAATCTGTGGATTAATGGTTTGCCATTGTATAAATATACAGTATAGAAAGTACGCCACTATCAAATTTTATTCTAAATAAAATCCTTTCAAACTGTTGTGTTCCCCTTTTCTTTATTCATAGCCTTTGTCTTGTTGTAATCCACCACTCTAGAGATGACCAACCCTGTATTAGTGCTATTAACACCATCTTTGTATCTCTATTTATTCAAAACATATCAAACACTGTGCAAATTACAACCTGGTTAAACAATCCTGCAGAGCAAGGGAAATGTCCAGAGAGGGACACACATCAAACAATTCAAGAGTCTCTTTGTACCTAAATGTTCCCAATGAGCTGTTCAAAACTATCCTGTACATACAGTCGTCACTTTACTTATGAGTTATCTCTGGGGTGGAATGCAGGAGATGTTTAATGTTTAACATTATTACAAGAGAGCTCCATATCTGTGTATATGTAAACACTTAATAGGTAAGTAGATGGCACTCAAGAATATGTAACATAGTTACTAGGTTTTGTAGGATCAATGAAATTTGTTGTTGGGCGGTGAAAATGGCTTCCACTCTGCAGCTCTTTACATCAACTCTTAATACATGCAAAAATTACACAACAACTTAGAAGACTGTAATGTATAAAGCTAGGGTTTTCAAAGGATCCTAAGGGATTTAGGATCCTAAGTCCCATTGACTTTCAGCATTAATTGGGTGCCTTAGCCTCGTTAGCACTTGATCCTACAATGTACACTCAGGCACAATACAGCAAAAAAATTAAATGTGCTTGGCTGTAGTCCCATTCAGTGGGACTACTTGTGTACTTAAAGTTAGGTACATGCATAAGTGCTTTATTGGATTGGGCTAGAACGTTCAGCACCTTGAAAAAATTATTTTAGTCTTTGTTTAGAACTGATATCTGATTAGTTCCTGCTTCTCCCGGGATCATCAGAATATAGACTAGAGGATCATAAAAGCAGAACATATTAGTGAATTCAAGAAAAGAATTGACAGGAACTTTGTAGCCAATAGTATTATTAACTATACCTACTAAAATAGATGGCTTTCCTGTCAAGCAGAAGGTGGATAAAGTAGGTGGGTCAAAGTTTATATTCTGTATTTAACCTTTTGTGTACATATGTATATGTATCTAATTTTAATACTTGTCATGAAAATGACAGATTTTCATGCAAAATTCAGTAAAAAAAATTTCTTTAAAAAGTGACAGAGTCCTGTGGCACCTTATAGACTAACAGACGTCTGTTAGTCTGTAAGGTGCCACAGGACTCTTTGTCACTTTTTACAGATCCAGACTAACACGGCTACCCCTCTGATTTTTTTTCTTTATACTTTCAATTGGCCGGAACCAAACTTCCAGTTTTTAGCACTGCTGAAACTTTGGGAGGAGGTAAACTCCAATTTTAAACATAGTGGTGAGAGACCCTTTTTTTCTTTATTTTGCTTTCATTGTAAGGTTAAATGTGATATAGAGGCACTGTGAGTCTCACTAGCAGCTGCAGTCTCACATCTGAAAAATCCTATTTAGAAGCTAGCCTAAAAACATTTTGCTTTCTGGAAAGGTTCTTCCCCACCCACACCCCCTGTTCTGTGTGTGCATTAGGTATGGGATTTTCAAAATTATTCATCTTTGGCCTAATTTTGCTCTCATTTGAGGTCAATGGCCAAATGCCCTTTGACTTCTATGGGAGGAGTGGTGAGCCAACACTAAGCACTTTAGAAAATCCCACCCATATTTCATAAGACACATATAAAGCCATTAATTAGAAACCATTTCAGGAGATAATTATATATGAAACATTAACACCACATATTTTATATACTTCTACATATTAGCAAAGATTGCATAAATAGTGACTTGTATTTTTTTGTTAATTCTGCTGTAACCAGGTAAAATACTTTTCTGTAAACATAAAAGTCTGATAATTCCCACACAAAAACTGTTAACAAAGGAGCTAAAGTTGAAAGTGCAAATCAGTAATTTAGGGTAAAATGCAATACAGAGATGTTGTAGTTATCCTGAAACCAAGTGGTATAAACTCAGGAAAATCAGAATTAAGGTTAAATTTAAAAGAAATCCAATTGTAAGGTATAGGATTCCTCCAGTTAGGGCCCCCAAAACCCTTAACTCATTCTCTGTAATGACACCATGCAATAACCATATGATTATGATTAAAGAATTCTACTGTTTGTGGTCCCAGACGAAACTGATTTTTTTAAACCCTTTTGATTTTTTCCCCCTTTCTCCCCCCCCCCCTTCATGGTGTCATCACAGTTCACTGTACAGATACACTATTGACCCGGTCAGCTTGCTTTGCCACCCTATGAATACTAACTCTTT